TTTCAGACAAATGGCTGTCTCTTCTTTAAAACTTCTAGTGTTGGAACATCCATGATTTCTGGAGGCAGGCTGTTCCACTGGTTAATTGTTCTCATTGTCAGGAAGTTTCTCCTTATTTTTAGGTTGCTTCTCTCCTTGGTTAGTTTCCAACCGTTGCTTCTTGTCCTTCCTTCTGGTGCTTTGAAGAACAGCTTGACTCCCTCTTCTTTGGGGCAGCCCCTGAGATATCGGAAGGCTGCTATCATGTCACCCCACATCCTTCTTTTCATTCAACTAGACAAACCCAATTCATTCATATGGTTCAGCCTCCAGTCCCCTAATCATCTTTGTTGCTCTTCTCTGCACTCTTTCTAGAACAGAGGTCCCCAACCTTTTGGGCACCAGGGACTGCTTTCGTGGAGAGAGGTTTTTCTGCGGCCCGGAGGGTGCGTGGTTTTGTGTGCTGCCTGCATCCCGCAGATGGGGCTTTGTTTGTTTGCGCGGACTGGTTGCTGGTACGCCGTGGCCCGGTACCGGTCCACAAACCAGGGGTTGGGGACCCCAGTTCTAGAGTCTCGACATCTTTTTTACATCGGGGTGATCAAAACTGGACGCAGCATTCCCAGTGTGGCCTTACCAAGGCCTTGTAAAGTGGTATTAACACTTCTCGTGATCTTGATTCTCTCCCTCTGTTAATGCGGTCTAGGATTGTGTTGGCTTTTTTTGGCAGCTGTTCATTTTTGAGAATAGAAGGATGTCAGTCCGATCTGGCACACCCTCCCCATTTCTCCATGCTTTGCTTGCCTGGTTTACGTGATTGATAGGGCAGGACGCTCATTTTATGACCTAAATCAATCCCATTAAATAGCACATTGTCAGAAAACATTTCGGGAGAAGAATATTGTATCCTCTTCCTGAACGTGGCTTGAGTAGAAGATGGATGGAAATATCTTTAATAATAATAATAAAGTTGAAAGGGACCTTGGAGGTCATCTAGTCCAACCCCCTGCTCAGGCAGGTAACCCTATACCATTTTGGACAAATGGCTGTCCAGTTTCTTCTTAAAAACTTCCAGTGTTGGAGCATTCACCGCTTCTGGAGGCAGGTGGTTCCACTGGTTAATTGTTTAAAAAGGCCATCCGTATTAGTAGCTGTGGCTGTATTACTGGCCACGCAGGGAGTCCTTGGCATATGACCGTCATATGACCGCCTGTCCATTACGGTAGGATGGCAAATCAAGTCCGTCATGTGAGCAAACCGGTTTTACGACCGTTTTTGTGGCCGGTGGTCATTAAGCACATGCGGCGGTTGTAAAACCTTTTACAACTGCCGCATTTTTAACGACCAGTTTTTAACACAATTTTTACAACCAATGTGAGGGGTTGTTAATAAAAAAAACCCTTTGCTTGCTGTGGGGCGGTTTTTGCTAAAACTGGAAGTTACTTCCGTTTTTTCAGCAAAAACCATTGTAAAATGAGGGTCGCTTGATCATGGACGCTGCAAAGGTACAGAAGTGCGATTGTGTTGCGGTGCACCCAAAGTGCAAATCATGTGACACACACACACTTGGAAGTTTGTCTGTGTCCTCACTTTGAACGGACCCAGGGCAGAAAACATCCCGCAGCCAAGCAGGCTCCACGCCCATTTGCACCCCTACTCAGGTGACCCTGAGGACACAGGTAAACCTCCAAGTGGCCTCAACGACCCTCTAAAAGAATGCAAATGACCAGTTTTTCTGCAAGGAGTATAAATCCTTCCATTTCCCCACCATCCATTCAAGAGCTGAAGAAGCTTCTGGGATGAGAAGCAAAACGAAAACAAGAAAGTCCAGTTGCCTCCTGGAAAAGCACCTTTGGGGACAAAGCAGAAGCTGGATTTCTGCACCAATTTCACTTCGGAGACGATAAGAGTGACCCAAAGGGCATAGAGCTGGCAAATTTATTAGCTCGTAAAACTGCCCGCTGTTACATTTGGAGCGAGAATTATGTTTCCTTGAGTCAAAAGCTCGCAGTGGAATAAATGCTGGCTCTGGGGTTTGCCGATGCTAACACGTACCTTTCAGTTCCCATTAATTTTATCCTCCCCCCCACCCCTTAATAAAGACAGAGGCCTCTGTAATACGGCCGGAGACAGGAGCCGTGAGATTTTGAAAAAGACATACGGTAGCTGAGGTGAGCAGGCGGGTTCATGGTTTGCTGGTAGCTGGCCAACAGCAGGGACCTCTGAGACGGAAGGGAAAAAAATGTATTCAGTTCTATAGTCCTTGTTTCTCTCTTTTTAAAAAAAAATATTTTTTTTTAGAATAGAATAACAGAGTTGGAAGGGGCCTTGGAGGTCTTCTAGTCCAACCAACTCTGTTATTCTATTCTATTCTATTCTATTCTATTCCATTCTATTCCATTCTATATTTTCTATTCTATTCCATTCCATTCCATTCCATTCCATTCCATTCCATTCCATTCTATTCTATTCTATTCTATTCCATTCCATTCCATTCCATTCCATTCCATTCTATTCCATTCCATTCCATATTTTCTATTCTATTCTATTCAATTCCATTCCATATTTTCTATTCTATTCTATTCTATTCTATTCTATTCCATTCCATTCCATTCCATTCCATATTTTCTATTCTATTCCATTCCATTCCATTCCATATTTTCTATTCTATTCTATTCAATTCCATTCCATATTTTCTATTCTCTTCTCTTCTCTTCTCTTCTCTTCTCTTCTATTCTATTCTATTCTATTCTATTCCATATTTTCTATTCTATTCTATTCTATTCCATTCCATTCGATTCCATTCCATATTTTCTATTCTGCTCTGCTCTACTCTACTCTATTTCTATTTCTATTTCTATTTCTATTTCTATTTCTATAAATTTATTATAAAAAAGAGAAACAAGGGCAATAGAACTCAATACAATACAGTACATTGTCAATGCCAATGATGGTGTTCAAGTGGTGCTTCAGTTGTTTTGGGATTGCACCCAAGGCGCCTATGACTATTGGTACCACCCTTGCTTGCCTTTGCCACAGTCTTTCTATTTCTATTTGTAGGTCTTTGTATTTTGTTATCTTCTCCAGTTCTTTCTCATCTATTCTGCTGTCTCCAGGCACTGCCACGTCCGCTATCCAGACTTTTTTGTCTTTCTTATCGACAATTGTTAAGTCCGGGGTGTTATGTTGCAGGTGCTTGTCTGTTTGAATTCTGAAGTTTTAGAGCAGTTTAACTTTATCATTTTCTATGATTTTCTCTGTTTTATGATCCCACCAGTCCTTGCTTACAGGCAAATGATATTTCTTGCAGATCTTCCAATGCACCATTGTTGCTACTTTGTCATGCTGCTGCTTGTAGTCAGTCTGTGCGATCTTCTTGCAGCAGCTTACCAAGTGGTCCCCTGTTTCTTCAGCTTCTTTGCATAGGCGGCACTTACTGTCTGTTGCTGTCTTCTCAATTTTGACTTTATATGCATTTGTCCTTGTCTTGTGCAGTCAGAATTAGTCCCTCGGTCTCTTTCTTCAATTTTCCTGCTCTTAGCCATTACCAGGTCTTGTTATTATCTGCTTTCCCAGCTATTTTTTTTTAATATACTGGCCATGTAGTGCTTTGTCTTCCCATGCCTCTATTCTGTTCTTCATTTGGTCTTTCTTGTAGGCCAGTTTGGTCTCTCCAGTAGTCAGTAAGCCTTCCTGTTATACTAATTTCAGTGCATCTTCATCATTGTCCTTCAGATATTCTTCCAAAGCCATTTTTTTTTCTTCAACCATCTGATGTACTTGCAGCATTCCACGCCCACCTATTTTCCTTGGTAGATAAAGTCTGTCAATGTCACTGCGTGGATGAAGGGCATGATTCATTGTCATTATTTTTCTGGTCTTCCTATCCATTGCTTTTAGTTCTGCTTGAGTCCAGTCCACTATTCCAGCTGTGTATGTAATGACTGGAATTGCCCAGGTGTTGATTGCCTTTATGGTATTTCCTCCATTGAGTTTGGACTTTAAGATCTTCTTCACTCTCTTGATGTATTGACCTCTAATCTTTTTCTTGACTTCAGTGTGCTTGATGTTGTCAGCTTGAAGGATACCCAAGTATTTGTAGTAATCTTCCTCATCCAGACTCTTAACGTTATTTTCGTGGGGCATTTTGATTCCTTCAGTTTTCACTATTTTTCCTTGTTTGATAGTAAGTGTGGCACACTTGTCCAAGCCAAACTCCATTGCAATATCTTGGCTATATATACGGACAGTGTTGAGCAGCGATTCTATTTCAGATGATGTTTTTCCATACAGCTTCAGATCATCCATGTAAAGGAGGTGGGATAGTCTGGCAGATGTTTTTGATGNTCTCCAGTTCTTTCTCGTCTATTCTGCTGTCTCCAGGCACTGCCACGTCCACTATCCAGACTTTTTTGTCTTTCTTATCGACAATTGTTAAGTCCAGGGTGTTATGTTGCAGGTGCTTGTCTGTTTGAATTCTGAAGTCCCAGAGCAGTTTAATTTTATCATTTTCTATGACTTTCTCTATTTTATGATCCCACCAGTTTTTGCTTACAGGCAAATGATATTTCTTGCAGATCTTCCAATGCAATTATTATTATTATTATTATTATTATTATTATTATTATTATTATTATTATTATTATTATTATTATTAGTCAATGGGGAAGCCAGATTCACTTAACAACCATGCTACTAACTTAACAACTACAGGGATTCACTGAACAACTGTGGCCAGGAAGGTCGTAAAATGAGACAAACTGACTTAACAACTGTCTCACTTAGCCACAAAAACTGTGGGCTCAATTGTGATTGTAAGTCGAGGACTGTCTGTACATTTTCTTAGTTCTACATCGAGATGCTGGAGATTGAAGTTGAAAAATCTTTTGAATAGAACTAGATTTAATGCAAAGCATTCAAACCTTTCACCGGATCTTCCTGCCTATTGTGCGCCCCTTAACTATATTGTAATCAATTTGTCTCTCTTTTGTGTGTGTGTGTGTGTGTTTGTGTCTTCACAGTGGGAACGGCTCTGGTTCTTACTCCTCACCTTTGCTTTCTTCCTGACCCTGGTCTGGTTCTATTTTTGGTGGGAAGTTCACAACGACTACAATGAAATCAACTGGTAAGTCCAAAAAGTAGTAACAACAAGCCCATAAACCTTAGCATGCAGTGCCCCCTTCCAGATGCCCTCCAGATGTGGACCCCTGGAAAAGAGGATGGGAGTTGAAACCCACCGGGGTATCTGGTGAGAACTTGCCTGAAGAAGTTGGTAAAATAATAATAAAAAGAAGGGAATATTTGTAGCTTGTACTGTGGGGTCCTCAGTGCTCTCTGAGCTGGGCGGTTTTCTTGCAGACGTTTCATGACCCAACTAGGTAACACCATCAGTGCTAGAAGGGAGGGGGGTTTGCAGGGAGGAGGAGAACAACTGGGGTTTTTTTGGTGCTCTCTGAGCTTGGTTGTTTTCTTGCAGACGTTTCGTGACCCAACTAGGGAACATCACCAGTACTAAAAGTGCTAATTTGCTGAAGCATTAAATAACAACTCAATCAATGAACCACCAGCTCAGACAAACAACCAAACAGTAAACAATAGCCTAATCAAGGGACTGCCAAGAACACTCCCACCAACACTGACAGGGCAAGCCATTTGTATGTAAAAATAAGCGCAACCCCCCCTCCCTTCTAACACTGATGATATTACCTAGTTAAGTAATGAAAAGTTTGCAAGAAAACAACCAAGATCAGACCATCAAGGACCCCACAGTTCTCCTCCTCCTCTTCCCTTCCTCTTCCTCTTCCTCTTCCTCCTCCTCCTCCTCCCACAAACCCCCCTTCCTCCTAGCACTGAAGGTGTTCCCTACTTGGATCATGAAACATCTGCAAGAAAACCACCAAGCTCAGAGTGCACTAAGGACTCCACAGTTCTCCTCCTCCTCCTCCTCCTCCCCCCCTCCTCCTCCTCCCACAACCCTCCTCCCTTCTAGCACTGATGGTGTTACCTAGTTTGGTCATGAAATGTCTGCAAGAAAACCACCAAGCTCAGAGAGCACCAAGGACCCCACAGTTCTCCNAGCTCAGAGAGCACCAAGGACCCCACAGTAATCAAAAGACTTGCTCAGCAGATCTGGGTTGCATTCATAAAAAAGCTCAAATATATGTAGGCCCTAGGAAGAGTGTGCAAAGGTTTCTTTCTCCAGGGATTTGAGTCAGGAGAAACAGTATTTAAATTGTACCTACAGCGGGCGCTGAGCCTCCTTTCCTTAAACCTATTCCCATTCGGACTACCGCAGCACCACTTGTACAGGGCCAACCCTTGAAGAGTGTTTGGGAAACGTCCCGGGTGTTTCTCCAGTCCTGCCTATGTTGACATTGTCGGCTATTTTGGGGCAAGTTGTGTTGGCTGTCCTTTTGCTCCAGGGCACAATTCAAGGTGACAGTTGAGCGTGTAACTACGCAGTCACAAATTCCACCGAAAGGAATGTGCAAATTCGGAATTTCAAGAGCACAAACACGAAAGTCTTTTCATTACTTTGTTTTAATTATATAATTTTTTTTTTTATTGTTTTTTACTGAAACGCATTCAAGTCCAATCAGCCTTCTGCGTTCCCCAGTCGGAAAGATCTGCTAAACAGACTGCCTGACCTGTCTGTAAAAAAACAAAATACAGGGTTAAACATTCTCTACAAACAGCAGGGATGATGTTTTGAAACAAAAAAAAAAACAAGCTTCACCGGAGGAAATGCCCCTGCGAAAAGCTTGCATCAAATAATTAGGGTGTCAGAGGAAACAAAACAGAGTAATTTGCATTTTTAATGAAACGTTCTGAAAGGAACTTGTGTTCCTGCCGCTGTAAATTACTGTCTGATTCTAGGTGTAGTGCATTTGTCAGTTTCAAATGACTTTCGTGAGGTTTGAAAGATTTTTTTTTTTTTAATTTGCTCATCCTAGGACAGGGGTAGGCAACCTTGGCCCCTTCATGACTCGGGGACTTCAACTCCCAGAATTCCTGAGCCAGCATGAGGGAACTATGGCCCCTTCATGACTCATGGACTTCAATTCCCAGAATTCCTGAGCCAGCATG